TTATGTATATGTATGTGTTCATAACTCACGCAAAAGGGTTTTTAAATTTTCTGAATAGGATGAATATCTGAAACTGTGTTACTTCTTTTCATACTTCTTTCAGATAATCCACCGAGACCTGGCAGCGAGGAATGTGCTGATCACAGAAGACAGGGTGTGCAAAGTGGCAGACTTTGGCTTCGCCAGAGATGTTGGTGATACTCATGTGTATGAGAGGAAGAGTGACGGACGACTACCCATCAGGTAAGTCATAATTATTCAATTTATAAATCAAGTAAAAACGCGGGTTACTCACGTGAATATACTGAGAAAAGCTCTACTAGTTTCGAACCACAGAGGGGTTCTTCCTCATGAGCAGCGTGCGCGGTCGCGGCGACGTCGCGCAGCTCACTGATTTATATATCATTTCAAAATCATTTCTTATCACAATTTATAAATCATTTCTTATCTTCTCCTTCTATTTTTTTTTTGTATTTCATGGACCGACGTTTGACCATTATCTCGCCCGGTAATAAGCGATAATTTAGTATATGATGGAGCACGTCGTCCCATAAGCAACCTATTCACTCGGGCTTTGAAGACACCCTTTTCAGGAAATACAGACTCTGGCAAAGAAATCTTCTTCAACAATAGATTCCTAGCAGTAAATAGCGTAACCTAAGAAAATACATAATTTATTATTAGATATACTAAATTATACATCTTCTAAATAATACTACTAGTGATAATACTAACTTTTGTCATAAGTTAGAAAATCTGAAGTAAAATTTGAAAGACATTTTTAGAATACCGAGCTAACTCCCACAGATTGTAATTCCGAAATTAAATTAGAGACACCATTGAAATACATTACCTGGTTCGACTTGGGATTACCATAGAACATAATGGTTATTTAGTTCAGTTTTGTTCAATAGACAATAGTTAAATAGAGGTGCACCAACGCAATTGCACCTTCACTTCGAATAATAACAGGTGCACAGGTCATTTATCAGGTTGTGTAACTTTGAAGTATGTTTATGTTAAGTATGTTATTTAAGCAAACGAAATATAAGTAAAAAGAGAAAAGGCTATCGACACACACATTTATTTGTCTTCAATTGTTTTACAAATTCGCGGGCTCCACCACACACATAGATAATCTATCACCATAGACTATACTATGACCATAGAGTATACCACAAATACACAACAGTTTATTTATCGTATAACGTTGCCCACAATATAATGTTCTCTTGTGTCGTGGGCGCATTTACAAATATACAATATAACATACACATGACACATGACAGACCCGAAATATCAATACGGTATTTGACATCTAGTCAAATTCAATGCATTTTTCGAACCGTCAACAACGACAGTTTTCTATGAATTTTGTACGACATTGTGAATTGTGACGTCACGTTTTTAAGCGTCAATGAGCGTACTTATTTCTTAAAAAAATACTGAAATTAAGTTCGTCATAAAATTAATTAAGTAATGAAAGTGTAATAATTTATTTATATTTTATTGTTTTGAACAATGGAAGTAATTTATTTTCGATTAAGGAAAGTATCCAAAGAGTTGCTTCGTGCGGGAATGAACCCGCTTTACGTTACGCGGCAGCCGGTTGCCCAGCCACCACTCCAACAGTGCAGTCAGTGCAGGAAATGTTGCATAACAACCCGATATAACGAAACCTAGAACTAAGAAAGGAAATTTCAAATTTCCTCAAACGGATATTAAGTTCCCCTACAAATAACTAGCGGCCACGGTTTAGTTCGCTGGAATTTTGGCTTGGCACATAGGGATTAATTAAGAACAGTCTAAATTAAAGCTAGTGTATCAACCGTTTTAACTAATATTAAACTACATTTGCCGCGCCCAGATGATGAATTGGTGATCATTTTTTTACATTTTTAAGATGTTTTTAAAGGATGATAGATATTGTGTGAATCCACTTTTTGAAACATCAAAATGGACTGCTTCGTTACCCCTAGAGGTCGCAAGTCCGACTGCCGGGCAAGGGGTCTCGAGTTCGGTTTCCAGGTCAGGAAAGTATTACTGGGTGTTTCAGAAATGCTCAGTAGTAGCACGGATTCTGAAAATGTGCCCGGTATATGACAATAGGCTCAATATTACATGGGACTCTTAACCCAGTAATACTTTGCCGAGACCTTGCACGGCAGTCGCACTTGCGACCACTCGGCCAACGAGCCAGTCAATAGGAATAGGTTGCACGAATTTATCACGTGGGGTGGGAGGGTGAGCTCACCTACATTTGAGTAAATATCTATACACTACCTTAGTGTGAATAGTTTAAATTTTAGAACACAGCGAATTCAATATTAACTCTCAACTAGTTTTAATTTCGAGTCTGTTATTATTGTTAAGTTCTATATCTATCTAGTTTAGTTAGTTTTCTCAACTGTTACCACCTCTTACGTACATACGTAAACCTACAGGGAAATTTGAAAGTTCAATAAAATTAAAAGTAAGCTCTGCCTTGGTATATTAACGTTAAAGTATTATAAAATTAACGTGGAATAAAACAACAAAATGTGGTCTATTCGCCTTATCTTATTTGTAGAGCCATTTGAATGGCTAGTTATAGTAAAATTATGTAGGTCTATTGTCATTTGTCACAAGACACTAATTTGGAGTAATTTGAGAATTGTGAAATTTTGAAAAACCGACACATGTCCAATCAATATAAAATTTTAACACCTCTAATTAACCTCAGTAGTAGCACGGAGTCTGGAAATATGCTCGGTATATGGCAATATGCTCACACCCTATTACATGGGACTCATAACATAAATAGTGAAAAGTGGGTGTTACATTGAACAGTGGCATTAAGTGCCGTAATGTGCACCTCTGCCTACCTGCTTTCGGGGATAAAAGGCGTGATGCTATGTTATTATGTAAAGAAAATCGAAAATCTCAATATTAGTAGAAAATCGAAAATCTCAGTATAAAGTAGTCATTACTAGCATTGACCCAAAAAATAACTGAAATAAATCGATCAAGCAACGAGTAAATAAAATGTTTTTCTCGTTTATTTCTAGATGGATGGCGCCTGAATCTTTATACGACAATATATTTAGTGTGAAGTCCGATATTTGGAGTTTTGGCATCTTGCTGTGGGAGATTGTGACCCTCGGCTCAACACCGTATCCTGGACTATCAGCTAACGACGTCATGAAAAAGGTAAGTTGCAATCTTAGGTGCTAAGGAATAAGATCTACTATCTACTATTGTTTATATTTTTATTATGTGTCATACCTATTGATTAAAGCCGAGTATAGATTAGGGGATAAATGCCCTGCGACTTGTGTCGCCAGGGACGTTGGGTCAAGTAGCGCGACGTTGCCGGACTTTGGTCAATATGTCTGGCAACATCAACGTCGCAGTGGACATAGGGGCGCGTTGTCGCCATGTCAGGTGTCCGGCATTGTTTGACATGTCATCGGTACATGCGACATTGGTCCCCTGGTGTATTTGGTTTTATAGTGGTTTTGTACTCGCTACGGACTAATTATGCTATAAGTTGTTTATAGCTATACTATACCGAGCATTTGTTGAATATCCTTTTACTGTGTTTGGTACCGTCGTTCAGAAGTTTATCTATGCGGTAAGTTCAGTAATCTCCCAGTAATTTTTATTTTAACAATTTTGAAATGTTACCAGAAAAATAAGGTATGAGAACAAAACAAAAAAATAAAACAGCTATTGATATTTTAATAGTATGCCTGCTAATGGTTAATTGCAACAAAATAAGTTTAAACCTTTAAATAGTTTAATAATTATTATAACATTAATTTATATTAAACAGGCAAATATGAATTAAAAGGACACAAAACTGATGACAAATAAAAATGACATTACAATTGTATTAAAACATTTATTGCATACTAAAATCTAGGAACAATAAATGAAAACTGCAGATATTAATTACCCACACTACTTCTTCTTTCCAGAGAAACCGAATCCATTTGTCATGAACCCGTTGAGGAATTGATTGATGTCGGACGGGGCGTCACACATGCACCTGCACTTGGCGTATCTGTCCGCCTTGGTCTGTTGTCCCCAAACTGTGACCTTCTCGTAGCACTCCCGACCAGGTCCAGGACTGTACAGCCTGCAGCATTCTCCACAATCTTGACCTTGGTACGAGCACCGTATGGACGCCTCCTTCACAGTCTTGCCAGCACACAACGCCACCATGGCGAACAATGCGACAACGACGAGAAAACGCATCTTGTTGGTTGGGTTGTTACGACTTGTGAACGACTGCTAAAGTTTAGCGAATGATTGGACTGGTGAAACATTACTTCTTTTATACTGAATTCATATCTTCAATGTGACCTCTTAGACCTTGCTTTTAACAAGTTATCACACGTTTTTGTCGAATATTATTCCTTCGGGCGAGTCCTACATCTTTTCAGCAACTAAGAAATAGCAACGTCATCTTATCACCGCGCTAACCATAGTGACCATTTTAATTAAATATTATTGAAATTAGAAACTGATAAAAAGTGACTGCCTCATTGGCCGAGTGGTCGCAAGTGCGCCTGCCAGGCAGGGGGTCTCGGGTTCGATTCCCGGGTCGGGCAGCGTATTACTGGGTTTTTTTTAAAAATGGACTCATAACATAAATAGTGAAAAGTGAGTGTTACTTCTGTGTGCACCTCTGCCTACCCCTTCGGGGTTAAAAGGCGTGATGTTAAGTTATGTTATAAAATGTGGCTATTTGTCTCGTTAAAAGCTTGTTTATAAATAATACAATACAATATTACCGCATTTTTCTTAAAATGATGCCATAGTTGGCGTATTTTCCCTGTTTTGGAACTAAATATGTGCTTTCCCGAACAAAATAAGATCGTCAATAAAATTGATGTATATCAATTGTATACAAAATAAATAGGTATCTATTTATTTATTGATTAAACTAAAAGTCAATGGTTTGGATTATAGGTAATAGACACTTAAAAACACCTAATATCATGCTTTTATTTTATTAAGAAGATAATACAAGTATTATTCCATATATTTATTTAAAATTCTCTGTAAATTACATTTTTAAATACTACTTACAAAATAAAACAAATAATATTTAAAAATATAAAAAAATAGGAGCCGACCAGTAGCGGGAGCATGGTCCAAGCTACCGGTGGTTAGGGCTCCAGAGACAGAAACCTCCTCACGAGACGTGCCGTTTTTAGGAGAACTGCCTTCTGTATCAGGCCCTTGATCCATCCACCTAACGCCAGCCTCCTAAGATGGATGTCGAGGCCGAGACGACTATCGGCACAATGATAGCCGAGTATTATTATTATTAGTAAATGAATATTATAATACTCATCGCTGGAGACGTTACGTGTGAGCGGGCCATGCTTCGTCACGAATGGGTTGGCTCGACGTGAGTGATACCACAGCCTCATAGAAAACCAGAGTAAAACAATGTTTCGCCCCGTAAGAATTTTCCTCCTTCGATTCCTTCCCTCCCCAATCTCCGCAATCCCCAATCCCTAAGTGCTTACTCGGTGTTGCGGGTGTCCATGGGAGGCGCCATGTAGGTCGTGGTGGCCCGGAGGTTTAAAACGCCCTCTTTTCTTACATGAGGATACGAATGCGGGTTCGAAACCTACCAACGGCAAGTGCCAATGTGACATTTTCCGAGTTATATGTACTTTCTAAGGTTATCTAGACACCACTGACAAACGGTGAAGGAAAACATCGTGAGGAAACCCTGGGCTTATCATTTCTAATTATAAGTTTGTAATCGCCAACCCGCATTGAGCAAGCGTGGTGATTAAGGTGACTAATTCTCAAACCTTCTCCGTGTGAGAAGAGGCTTTTTATTTGTTAAGATATAACCTCGCGCAGGAAAAAACCAGTATTAAATCATATTATAACGCAGTAACCACTTTCTTCTCTTAAGCATTCCTCCAACTTAGGTAGCGATCAGTTAATATAGTATACAGGCGAAGTCACGGGTGAAAAACTAGTTTGATTATAAGGGCTTGCCCAAATACATCAGATAACATTCGTTATTATTAGTTAATTAGAAGGACAGGTCCGAAGAAATAATATCTGTCTTTGAAGATAGATAATGAATACCTACAACATACATACGTAACATCACGCCTTTTATCCCCGAAGGGGTAGGCACAGGCATTGTAACAATGTAACACCCACCCAATGTAATTTTTACCTTTTAAGAAATTTTAATGTATATATTATGCTATTTGACGTACAAATGTTATGACGTCACAGTACTATATCTCGTAGGTATGTACCAACGAAATTCATAATTTTTACTAAATTAGTAACTGGCCTATTATCTAATGTATCATAATAAACCAACCGACACATCTAATCTTAGTATCCAGCTAAATCTAATAAATCAATTGACGATCCTATTTTGTTTGGGAAAGCCCATACCTAGATCAAAACATGGAAAGTACGCCAACTATGGGACTGGCGACAGAAGCAGTGAATAAAGCTGAGTTCATACTCCAAAAACTTACTTTTGATTAACTTTATTTTCTTGCAAGATATTTATAAAGGGTGTAATGTAATCACCCATTGTAAAAAAATAATTCCTTCGTTTCAAAAAACCAATTTCAACGGCCTATTTTTTTAAGTCAGTTAATTAATACCTATATTAAAATCTTCTCCAAATTATACAAAAACTTTTCTGGAAAAGCGCATCAAAATCAGTTCAGCCAATCGCGAGATAATTGCGATCAAATATACATACATACCTACCGGTTAAACTGAGAACCTCCTTCTTTTTTTTTGGAGTCGGTTAGAAATGCTTGTTTATGTTTACTTGTTAGGGTACCTACAAGCTTTTCACGAGATAAGTAAAGAGTCACGTTTTCTCGAATAATCAGTTTCTAATTTCAATTATATTAAATTAAAATGGTTACTTTGGTTAGCCCAATGATAAAGTGACGTTGTTATATCTTAATTGCTGAAAAGATGTAGGACTCGCCCGAAGGAATAATATTCGACAAAAACGTGTGATAACTTGTTAAAAGCAAGGTCTAAGAGGTCACATTGAAGATATGAATTCAGTATAAAAGAAGTAGTGTTTCACCAGTCCAATCATTCGCTAAACTTTAGCAGTCGTTCACAAGTTGTAACAACCCAACCAACAAGATGCGTTTTCTCGTCGTTGTCGCATTGTTCGCCATGGTGGCGTTGTGTGCTGGCAAGACTGTGAAGGAGGCGTCCATACGGTGCTCGTACCAAGGTCAAGATTGTGGAGAATGCTGCAGGCTGTACAGTCCTGGACCTGGTCGTGAGTGCTACGAGAAGGTCACAGTTTGGGGACAACAGACCAAGGCGGACAGATACGCCAAGTGCAGGTGCATGTGTGACGCCCCGTCTGACATCAATCAATTCCTCAACGGGTTCATGACAAATGGATTCGGTTTCTCTGGAAAGAAGAAGTAGTGTGGGTAATTAATATCTGCAGTTTTCATTTATTGTTCCTAGATTTTAGTATGCAATAAATGTTTTAATACAAATTATTGATATGTATTTTCTTTTCATTCATCTTTGGTTTAAAATTTGAAGCCCGATATTACAAAGTCAAAATTGTAATATCGTTTGGTTATTGTTAATTTTTAAGCTGTGTAGTGTAGAAAAGGTGACCACAATAACATACATTATTACATAGCGTCCCGCCCTAGTATAGACTAGCCCTAACATATTTAATCCACACCTCGGTTTTCCCTGTTCCCCACAGTAGGCCGTTTTATTAATTTAGACAATAACTGAATCATACCCAATCGAAGTACGACTTCAGTATAAAAGAAGGTACATTATCTATCCAAACCATTCACTAACCATATACAATACGAGTCGTAGTAACCAGCTGGTTGAGAGGTCCCAAGATGCGTTTTCTATTCATCATGGCAATTTTGGCGCTGGTCGCAATGTCATCTGCTAGTAGGACGATGAAGGAAGCATATATACGGTGCTCCCACGTCGGTCAGGATTGTGGAGATTGTTGCAGTAACTACATACCTGGACCAGGTCGTGAGTGCCACGAGAAGATCACAGTTTGGGGACAACAGAATAAGGCAGACAAATATAGCAAATGTATGTGTATGTGTGAAGCTCCTGTTGACGTGGACACCTTTCTCAAAGGGTTTTTGACAAATGGATACAGTATGTCTGGAAAGAAGAAGTAGATTGGACAATGGCCTATGGACAAGTTTCAATTATTTGCTTTTGTAACTTGATTTTTATGTCGCAATAAATGCTCTTATATATCATTGATTGATTAGTTTTATTGCTTGTTAGGTTAAATTTAGTAAAAGCTGAAAATATATCAAATTCCAATTTTCAAACTATGACTATACTAATGTATTTTCACCAACTGATACAAGAGTGGGGTACAAGTTAAACTAGAATATAGAGAATATAGCTCCATATAATTATGTATAAACAGACCTATAAATCACTTGGACATTTATCTCCTATCATTTATCACGGATGGTCACCGTTCAATATAAATCATTAGTCTTTTCACAGAACGATGATCGAGCAAAAATCTTCCTTGTTGCTTAGGGAATAAACATGAGTTATCAGTGATGAATATTATTAAAGTTAAATAAAAAAATAAAATTTTGGAAAGGTGAAAATGCACATATTAAATGAAAAAACATTTTTACCTATGAGCTGTATGCAATAATTAGTAACTGCAGACCTGTATTATGCCTACATAATGATGTGCTGCGTTTTATATTCAGAAGTAATAATACCCCATAAAACTTTTGGTCGAAAGGTTCTCTTGAAGTCTTGACAAAGGAACCCTTGACAAGAGTCAGTAGTTGCCATAACGAGAACCTTTTGTCTAACCAAAAAACAGAACTTGATACTCCTTGCTCAACAAATTGATGGCTGTTATTGAAGCGAAAGAGGTATGTAAGAATCGTAGTAATTGGCGTTCCTTAGTCTCTGCCTACCCCCATGGGAGACAGGCGTGAAGTTATGTATGTATGTATGTATGTATGCTCAACAGATATACGCACATTACACCTACTTATCATACGAGTAATGCATAGTATTCATATTTAACCACTTGAACGCCCGTATACAAGACACGATAGAAAAACCATTGTGCCTCGTATGAATCCACGTTTAGACACACAATGGGTTAAAAGAAGTTCTTAAGTGTAGGAGACCCAATCTTCGACAGGAATGAGCCGGCTTGACCGCAGCTGTGATACCACGGCCCCACAGAAAACCGACGTGACACACTACACAACGAAACACACTTGCGTTGTGTTTCGTTGTGTAAGTGAGGTTACCGGAGGCCCAATTACCCCCAATCTCCGAAACCATAACAATCCTGAAATTCCTAATCCTCAACAGGCCGGTAACGCACTTATGACACCTCTGGTGTCAGGGGGTCCATGGGCGGCGCAGATTGCTTACCATCAGGTGATCCGTCTGCTCGTTTACCGACTTATTCCATTTAAAAAGATATGCTTAATTATTGACTGTTTCGGAAACGAACTGGATTAGTTTCGTGAGTAAGCTGAAAAACATAATAATGAATCCAGTATGTCTCACAAAATAAGTAACATGACAAAGATATAGATTATTTATTTGCAAAAACATGTGTAAAATAATAATATATCATAGAATGCATATCATAGGTTGTACAGATGAGCAGTGAGCATAGTATCAACATGTTTGACCATTACTAGTGAACGATGATATCCTTGTTTAAACAATAGTTTCGATCCAGGTCGCTAACTTAGTTCACTTTCTCAGTGACTTGACTTGACTTGACTTGACGGATTTACAAAGTTGAAGTCATAAATTTAAACTTTTTCCTGACATTTTACTTGTGACATCTTAATCTTAAGTTTGCTTGTGAGCTGGATCAAGTTATGTTATCTCGTTACACTTGTAGTATGTAGGTACTTCAAAATGGGTCATTGATGCTACTTGCGTTTATTCATTAAATTCAAGTCGATATTCATTAAATAGTGCTCCATATTTACCTACTTAAGTTTCTTGTAACGTGGGATAAGCAGAGGTGCACATATTATATTATCTGATCTATATGTTGTGTAACATGTATGAAAAGGGGCGAACTACGCTATACAATTCAAATATAGACGATTAAATTTTTATCGTCGTATGGAGGCCCAGAGGTTTAAGACCGCATGCATGAGACTACGAGTTCGAATCGTACCAACGGGAGCGAATAATTTTTTTTATTTACAAATAATATAAACTCAAATAAAATAAATACTAACTCTTACTAAATATATACAACTTAAAAGTTAATAACATTAATACTTAACTTATTTAATTTTTGCCTCGTT